AGAAGCGGAAGGAGAGGGTGGAGGGATTGATAGGGGAGAGGATGGACGAGTAAGGTAAGAGAGGATGGTTCATGCTTGTCTTGAGGGGTATAGTTCAGACGAAGTTCACGGAGGTTTGGAACAACAGCGAAGGGTCTTTCTGTTCGGTCCTCCTTTTTTATTCTGCGGTGAATAGGACTGGTCCTACAAACTCTTCCTCCTCCCCCCGCTCCCCCTCCTCCTCCTCCTCCTCCTCCTCCTCCTCCCGCTCCCCCTCCTCCTCCTCCTCCTCCTCCTCCTCCTCCACCTCCTCCTCCTCCTCCTCCTCCTCCTCGTAATCGCTATCGTAATCGTAGCTGTCGGTGTCGTTGTTTTGCGCGGCGGGTGCCGCGGGAATATGGCCGCCACACATTGATTTGTTACCCCCAGTCCGTGAATATGGCCGCCACAATTTGATTTGTTACCCCCATTCGGGGGGTCTAAAGACCCTTCGTGGTTATTCGAGTTTCCAGCGGCAGACGTGGCAGAGTCGTCCTCAACCTTTGCACAGAGGGTGCACAGCTCCGTGTCCATTCTCCCCACCGTGCACTTTGCGAAGACGTGATGCCCTCCGTTTCGGCCGCCCGCGGCAGCCGACGGGGGCTCCGTGGAGGCCAGCGGACGTGGGCCGTGTTGGGGCAAACGCGGTATTGCCCAGTGCACGTGCACGTAACCCCAGAGGGTCTTTGGAACCCCACCTCAATAGGAGGTAGTTCATTATTTGTTTGGCGGCCTTATTGAAGGACAGGGGCCCACCAATAAGGGTTAACTCATTATTTTTGGTCCGCGGCAGCCGCCGCGCCAATTTTCTTGTTTCCTATGCCTCCTCCTCCTCCTCCCTCCTCCTCCTCCTCCTCCTCCTCCTCCTCCTCCTCCCATTCCTCCTCCCCCTCCTCCTCCTCCTCCTCCTCCTCTCCCTCCCTCCTCTTCCTCCTCCTCCTCCTCCTCCTCTTCATCCTCCTGCTTAGGCATGACACGAAGAGGAGCGAGGGGAGGAGAAGGAGGAGGAGGAGGAGTAGGAGCAGGTTTCAGGACCAGCCCTGTTCACCGCCGAGAGAACAAGGGGGAATCATAACTAAACGACCCCCTGCGGTGAATTCAAATATGCGACAGCGTGCGTATTTGAAGGCGCGAGCAGCGTGGTGGAGGCTCGAGGCGGATACAGAAGTTTAGCATCGGGTAAGAGGGACGGGGGGGGCGAGTTGGATCGCAGGAGCGCGTTCGATGATGGTACCAGCCCGAGCATGCTCGGCCGAGCACGATGACCGAACGGGACCGCACACAGTCACATGCGCAGTGCGAAGCATCGAAGATGTCGACGGCGAACCACCGCCGCCCCCATGCGTTTTCGGAACGCCGTTGTGTGGTGAGATGTCGAGCGAAAGTGCGGCCATGCTGGTGGACTGCGTGTTCCCCCAGCGCTTGGGGAAGCCACCAGGGGAACAAGTGGAGGGCCCTCTGGAGTTATCTCGGAGTTATTGGTTGGGCCATGTGGGCTTTTCTGAGGGCCTCTTGGGGCTCTCTTGGGTCAACTGGGCTCCCTGGAGCCGTCTTGGACTGCTCTCGGGAATGCTCTTCTGATTGGCGTCCTGTATTGTCTGCGCGCCGCAGGGCCTTCGAGCGGCCGGAGAACATAACCCGCCTCTGTTTGCCTCACGCACCGCCTTTGTCCCGCATCGCCTTCGATGAGGTAGCGAGCGTCGGTTCCGAATCGGGGTGGAATCGCAGGCCAGGAGCTGGGTTGGAAGATCGGCGGCGAGCGAGGGGAGGAAGTGAGAAGGGGCGGGCCTTCTCAGAAGGCTCGCAAGTCCCCCGGCCTTCAGAGCAGCTTCCTAAGACCTCCCCGAAGACACAACCTTTCAGAAGGCGCGAGGGGCTTCGGAGAAGTCCCGCCGCCTTCTGATGAGGCCTTCTCCTTCTCGCTTCCCCCCTCGCTTGCCGCCAAGAGTAGCAGCAGAAGCTCGAGGCGGCTTCGCGCCGTCGGCCGAGAGGACGTGAAGAAGATCGTCGCGGAGGAGAGCGGCATTCAGCCCGAGCACATGCGGCTGCTCTACAAGGGCAGGCTCTTGAAGGACCCGACTTCAGCCTTGTTCCAACCAGAAAGAATTTCGAGCACCAAGAGAGTACGAAACTCGAGGGTTTTCACGTGTCGGGCCCTGGGAGGCGATCCCCACCAGTCGACCACTGCTTTCGATACTTTTCCGGTGCTCGGAAATATAGTGGGATGTAGTCCTTGGTCCTTTTTTTTTTTTTTTTTTTTTTTTTTTTTTTTGATTTTTTTATATTTTTTTTGATTTGTTTTTTCTTTTGATTTTTTTTTGTTTTGATTTTTTGAAGATTTGTTTTTTTTTTCTGTTTTTTTTTTATTGAATTTATCTTCTTTTGTTTTTTTTTTTGTTTTTTTTTTATTCTTTTGTTTTATCTCTCTTGTTTTTTTTCTTTTTTTCCTTGTTTTTGTTTTTGGTTTTTCTTTTTTTTTTTTCTTTGATTTTTTTTTATTTCTGAATTTTTTTTTTTTTCTTTTCTTTTTTTTTTTCTTTTTTTTTTTTTTTTTTTTTTTTTTAGAAACTTCCTTTTTGATTTCTTTTTTTTTATTTTTTTTTTTTTTTGTTTTTGTGTTTTGTTCTCTTTTTTTTTGTTTATGTCTTTCTGTTTGTTGTTTTTTTTTTTTTTTTTTTTTGTTTTTTCGTTTTGAATTTTTTCTTATATTGATTTGTTTTTTTTTTTAATTTTTTGTTTTTTTTCTTTTTTTTGTCTTTTTTTTCCTTTTATTTCTTTTTTGTTTTCTTTCTCTGAAAGTACGACGGGAACAACACAGGACCCGATGTTGTTTTGCCGGGGTTGCGTGCGGGGATGCCCGTGGTCAGGAGCCGGTACGGTCGAGACGGGTAATTACGGAAAGAAAGGGTATACACTCAGCCCGCGCAGCAAGAGGATGGGCAGCCTTCCCGAGGGTGCCGTTGCATCCGTGCTTCCTCGGTCCATCCTTTGGTCACTCTCGTGTTGGCTGCGCCCCGCTCGAGAAGCTTCGGAATGGGCGTCCGAGGCCCTCTGCATCCTTGTCGCGCATCCTTGTGATACGGGCCGTCTGTACGGAAAGACTGGGTACGAAGAGCGGCAGTCGTCCCTGCTCATGTTTGCAAGGGCTCGCTGTCGGTGTTGTCGCGGGCGTTGGTGAGTGTTTTCTGTTACCCTCCCCAGCGCGTGAGGCGCGTTACCTGGGCCAGCCGCGCGTGGGTGTCTGCTGCAGTTGCGCCCCGTCGCCGCCCGCTGCCATTGTCTGCCGAAGGCCACCGCGCAGATTTGCGCTGCACAGTTTAGACCACACCGCTCACACCGCACAGGTCACGCCTCACAGACCTCACGACAACCTACACATCCACAGTACAATGGCTGACTGCTCGGGTTTCAAGATGGCTAAGATGTGGCTTGCATGGTTGGCGTGTCATCTAGAGAGCCTGTTTGATTGTTCTGTTGCGCCCCATCTATGCTTCTTCGAAAGACGAGATTTCCTCGGTTGGGGCAAGTGGGGCGGGCGTACTCAGCAGGTTGGACCTCCCGCGTGTAGCATTTAACCGCTCCGCATCAGACGGGACTCTCAGAGGTACCGATGCCGTTGGTCTTTGCCTGTTTTCGCCTTCTGGGAGGCCTTCATGTCAACAGTTGGACTCGCCTCGGGATCTTGGTCAGAGTGAACCCTGGGAGACTTCGAGGGAGCAGCGGTATCGATGCCATTGTGTTTCCCATGTTCGAGAGCACTTACACAGCACATGTACAGAGTTATGAACAACAAGCATACGGGAGAGGAAGATGCAAAGGGGGGAAGGAGGAAGCGGCACGGGGGAACGAGGAGAAGGAGAAGGATGAGGATGCGGGGCGGGTAATGATGAGGACGAGAAGAAGAAATGTGACCTCCCACATCTTTTTCGGTTTGCGATACGCCGCATCCCAAGCCGACCTCAGGACGCTCTTACCCTTGAGCAGGAGGGGTACGATGCTGCCGAGCCAGTGAACGTGCTCTACACCGCAGGCAACCGGCCCGAGCGGTTTGCCACTCGATTGTGCTCTGATGGGATGCACCAATGTCAGGAGGAGAAAAACACACATGGACACAATTAATCGTCGATTCCCCAGAAAATATGGGAAACTATGGGAAGTGGGGTGGAAGACGAAAACCCAGAAAATATGGGAAGATATGGGGAATCCTGTTATTTGTGTGTGTATTTATTTGTGTGTCCTGGGGCCCCTTCACAATGCTCAAAGAGGACACCTTGTGCTTCCTCTGCATGCATGTTGCCGCTCCAGTCGAGGCAAGTGCGAATCACGGTCCGTCGGCGTCTTGGCACACGTCGTTGAGGTCGAGCGTGGTCTGTGTGGCCAGCGTTAAGTCGGGCCTGTCCCTCTACAGGGGGAATATTCAAAAATAGTCAAAAAATAGTCGGGGGACTATTTTGGGGGTGTTTTTCTACCATTATGGAGTTTTTTTCGAGTATTTTTTAGTTCCCGTCGAAAACCCCTCTGCAGGGGGACACGCCCGACTTAAGGCAAGTGCGAATCACGGTCCGTCGGCGTCTTGGCACACGCCGTCGGGGTCGAGCGTGGAGTCTGTGCAGCTGGCGGCGGCCTGCAGACGGAGTGGGCCACAGGCCCTTGGCGTGTTGGGGCAGCGAGCTCGTGCTGGGAGCAGCCGGGAGGAGGACGGGGAGTCCGGTCTGCGTGGTGCCGCTTCCTTCTGCTGTGCTCTTCGTGGAGGAGGGGGAGGAGGAGGAAGAGGGCGAGGACGAGGACGAGGACGAGGACGAGGACGAGGAGGAGGAGGATGAGGATGAGGATGAGGAGGAGGAGGAGGAGGAGGAGGAGGAGGAGGAGGAGGCAGCGAGCTCGTGACGGGAGCAGCCGGGAGGATGACAGGGAAGCGGGCTTGCGTGGTGCCGCTTCCTTCTGCTGTGCTCTTCGTCTGCCGAAGTTCAGCTACAGATAGGGGGCCGCACGCGAACCCTACCCCTACCCCCTACGATTTTGGAGGGGGAGGGTGGGGTTCACTTGGCTCGGGAGCTCCCGAACGGAGTGAACTCCACCCTCCCCCTCAAAAATCGTGGGGGTAGGGGTAGGGTTCGCATGCGGCCCCCGAACAAAACGCGTTCCGGCAAGCGCGTGCATCTGACGCCAGAGCGGCCTGCCCCCGCCGAGAGCGGCGCGTGCTCCAGAGGCCACACAGCCCTCGTCGGCGGCAGCCAGAAGCAGGAGGCCCCCAATCGGCTTGCTGTTGTTCTTGCTGGTTTGTGGTTACATGCGTTGTGTGTTGTTGTTGTCTCTCTTCCTCTCTCTCTCTCTCTCTCGCTATTTTCTCTCACTCTCTCTCTCTCTCTCTCTCTTTCCCATCTCTCTCTCTCTCTCTTCCTCTGTCTCTATCTCTTTCCCAGTGCGGGCACTTATACGCATATTAGCCATCGTGGGCCCGTACTAGCGTGTTTCTAGCAACACACGTTTTGCACTCTATGTTGTGAAACATATGATACGCAATCCATGATGTGCAACACCTGAACTTTGTTGTGCAATATATGGTTTGCCATATATGTGTGCGCAATCTATGTGGTACAACATTTGTGGTGCGAGCTATAAGGTGCGAAAGGGTTTGGTTCCGTGAGTGCGGATCTGGCGAAATAATGCGGGCTTCGAAGGGCACTGGACTGGTGCATTTTACAAAAATGCTGCTATCTACAATCGATGCTGCTTTCGGGGTCATAAGTGTTGAGTAATCAACAGGGATTCTCGCCTCAGGATGGCGAATCTGGTTTAATTTAACAGGGTATGATTTCTGGAGCGAGGATCTGGCGTGACGTACTGTGGGTTCTGGCTTCGGGGTCGCGAATCCGGTGGAATTGATCAGGGATTCGGGCCTCGTGAGCGCGAGTTTGGGGTAATTCATCAGGGGTTCTGGTTCGGGTGGGCGAATTCGCCACATCTTAATGTGGTGGCAACTGTGGTGCACGCAGGCGTGGTGGAGTCCAACTTTGTGGTATGCACAAGCACTGTTGTGCACGCAAGCAACGGGGGGACCGTGCCAAGGGCCATAACAAAAATGAATACTCACGAACAACTGACGTGTTGAATTTGATGTGTCCAGGCGAGACATGCACACACAGGCGCTCCTCCGCCTCTTCCTTTTCCTTTTCGCAGAACCTCTCGACGAGCGTAGGGGTGGGTCTTCGGTCCACTGCAGGACCACACTTTGCTGGCGAGATTCCTGTTCCTTTTCCTCCTCCTGCTCCTCCTCTTCCTCCTCCTCTTCCTCTTCTTCCCCCTCCCCCCCACGGTTGCCAGGGCAGGCGCCGGTACGCAGTGGTGCCTTCGCCCTGTTCTGTCTCCCTTGATTCGTCGGCTTACGGGAGTCGTCGGACCGCAGGGCTATTGGTCTCGCAGTTGGGCTTGAACTCGCCACAGGAGGAGCTGCGATCCGCACGATTCTTTGAACACGTCTTCGTCCATTCCGCTATACTGCAGCACGCGCTATGGGGCTCGTCTTAAGTCGGGCATGCATGTTCCTCTACAGGAGGAATACTCAAAACTAGTAAAAAATATTATCCCAGTGCGACCCTACCTAGGAGTTGGAGCCCCTAGGAAAGCAGCATTAGTAGTAACAGTAAAGCTAAGCTAAAGCTAAGCTAAGCTAAGCTACAGCTAAGCTAAAGCTAAGCTAAAGCTAAGCTAAAGCTAAGCTAAAGCTAAGCTAAAGCTAAGCTAAAGCTAAGCTAAAGCTAAAGCTGAGCTAAAGCTAAGCTAAAGCTAAGCTAAAGCTAAGCTAAAGCTAAGCTAAGCTAAGCTAAGCTAACGCTAAGCTAAAGCTAAGCTAAAGCTAAGCTAAAGCTAAGCTAAAGCTAAAGCTAAGCTAAAGCTAAGCTAAAGCTAAGCTAAAGCTAAGCTAAAGCTAAGCTAAAGCTAACGCTAAAGCTAAGCTAAAGCTAAGCTAAAGCTAAGCTAAAGTTAAGCTAAAGCTAAGCTAAAGCTAAGCTAAAGCTAAGCTAAAGCTAAGCTAAAGCTACGCTAAAGCTAAGCTAAAGCTAAAGCCAAAGCTAAAGCTAAAGCTAAAGCTCCCAGGGGACTGGGGGAACCGCGGGGCGGGGACTGGGGGAACCGCCCGGGCGGTGTGCACTGCCCGGCCCCTTTAAGCTAAGAGAGTAAGAACCCTTCTAGGCAGAGCCTAGGTAGGGAACAATGGGGTAGATTACGAGGAGGAGGAGAAGGACGACGACGACAACCACCTGCGACGCGTGCGAGGAAGAGGGGGGGGGAGGAGGAAGCGGAGCAGGAGGAAGAAGAAAACCGGGCGCTCGCAGACGTGGATCAAGGGGGCGTGGATTGGTGACGGGTCCCCGCTTCCAGGGGAAATCGCAGAGTTCCGCCCTCGAGCGAGGCGGCACCGGCCGCATTTTGGGGAGGACACCTCCCCCGATCCATGGATTTGGCGTCCGCGCGTCAAGTCCATGGGTGGCTTCACGAATGCTCCATTCAGGAGGGGAAAGAACACACAGACACAATTAATCGTCGACTCCCAGGAAAGTAACTATGGGAAATATGGGAAGTGGGGGGGGAGACAAAAACCCAGAATATGTGGGAAAGTATAACGAATCTGGTTATTTGTGTGTATTTATTTGTGTGTCCTTGGGCCTCTCAGTCCAGATTCTTATCCAGATCCGCAGGCCCCTGGTCCCCGCGGTGTCCACTGCGCTGCGGCAGCTCTAGCGACCACAGGCAGGGCTTGTGGACGCAGGCGTGGAGGCGCGAGTCGGCTGCGTGGTGTACAGGCGTTCTTGGCCCTCAGCGCGGGAGCCATGCCCCAGGGCAAAATAACACCAGTCACAAGAAAAGCTCACATAATCAATTTTGATACCTATACGACCACCCTTCGGGTGATAAGGAGGTTCGGGGGGGGAGGAACCAACGTCTCACTCGATCGGTCTCACTATCGATCTCACTATCGATCTCAGTATCGGTCTCGCTCGATCGATCTCCCTCGATCGATCTCACAATCGATCTCACTCGATCTATCTCACAATTGATCTGACTATCGATCTCACAATCGACAATCGATCTCACAATCGATATCACATTCGGTCTCACTATCGATCTCACTATCGATATCACAACCGCTATCACAATCAACGTCATCATCATCATTATCAACAACAACATCAACATCAACATCATCATCACCAACATCATCATAATCGGGACACCGTCCTCATCATCAACACCAACATCATCATCATCATCACGGTCATCAACATCATCGGGACACCATCATCATCATCATCATCACCATCATCACAATCATCATCATCATCAACATCATTATCATCATCAGCAGCATCGGGACACAGTCATCGTCATCATCATCATCAGCAGCAGCATCATCATCGGGACACCATCATGATCACCATCATTATCATCATCAGCATCATCATCATCGGGACACCATCATCATCATCTCATCCTCATCATCGACACCATCATCATCAGCATCATCAGCATCATCATCAGCATCATCATCATCGTCATCATCGGGGCACCATCATCATCATTACCAACATCAGCATCATCATCATCATCATCATCATCATCACCATCGGGACGCCATCATCATCAACATCATCATCATCATCATCATCATAATCATAATAATCATCATCATCGGGACGCCATAATCATCATCAACCTCATCATCATCAACATCATCATCATCGGGACACAATCATAATCAGCATCATCAACATCAACATCATCATACTCATCATCATCGGGACACCATCATCGTCATCATCATGATCATCAACATAATCATCATGATCATCATCATCCTCATCATCGGGACACACCATCAGCATCATCATCATCATCCCATCATCATCATCATCATCGGACATCATCATCATCATCATCATCATCATCATCATCATCATCATCATCATCATCATCATCATCATCATCATCATCATCATCATCATCATCATCATCATCATCATCATCATCACCATCATCATCATCATCATCATCATCATCATCATCATCATCATCATCATCATCATCATCATCATCATCATCATCATCATCATCATCATCATCATCATCATCATCATCATCATCATCATCATCATCATCATCATCATCATCATCATCATCATCGCGGGACACCGCGGGACACCGGCGGGACACGCGGGACACCGCGGGGCACCGCGGGACACCGCGGGACACCGCGGGACACCGGCGGGACACCGGCGGGACACCGCGCGCCACCGGCCGCCCGGAAGAGACACATTTGGTCCGGCCGCGCCTCAGCCACAGGGACACCGACGGGACACCAGCGGGACACCGGCGGACAACGCGCGCCACCGGCCGCCCGGAAGAGACACATTTGGTCCAGCCGCGCCTCAGCCACAGGAGACTTTCCTCTCGCCCGCCCACGCAGCTTCGCCTCGCCCGCGCGCACGGCACGCACGAACACGAAACCGAAATCGATTTCCCGGTAGGGGGGCTCTCCGTTCCACTTCGATCTCACCCCCTCACCTCCGACGTTCGCGCCCCACCCCCCAAACCCACGAGTTTGGATGTTTGGGTCCCACCAGGCCCTTCGAGGTGACGCGAGCTTTGTGGCGTACACAAACAACTTGGTGCACGCAGGAGTCAGCCGCCGCGATGCGCGCGGCTGCCGTGGTGTGCGCGCGCATCATGTGGTACACGGTCGCTGCAGTGCCCGCGTAGCGTGCTGCTATGGACGTAGCTATGGTGTACAAAATCGTTGTGGCATGGCGCGCTCACAGTTGCACACGCAGGCGCTGTGGTTCACATGAACACTGCCACGGTGGTGTACACAGGCGGCGTGGTGCGCGCATAGGCTGCTGCATCAGCATGTGTGGTAACAGCCGTTCGACGGCCGGGCGCGGCTGTGTTATGTGCGCCTTTTTTTCCGCTGTCGCCCCTCTGTACCACCTCTGCGGTAAGAGGACGGGATTCCCGATGGGGAGACTGAGCAGCTCTCAAGGCGATTGCAATGTGACTGGGTTCGCTTAAACGACACGCGAGTCTAACGCGAGGTCAGGCGGTTGTGAGCCACTCTGCAGGACGTGATTCTAGCATTGTCCCTCTGAGATGAGCATACGAGGAGTGACGATGCTGATTGTGGCTGCAAGTTGGCTGTGCCAATTCTGATTGCTCAAGGCCGTGTTGGTACGCTTCACTTATCTCTGCAGCGTTGCCGAGAGTGTGCGGAGCAGCATCTTACTGCAAGGTGGTTGCGTTGTGCCACACCAAACACAGCACCACAATTCATATTGCCACACGGGCACAACCTCACAGACCGACATAGTTTAGCACCGCAAACGCAACACTGTAAACGAGCAAGGGGGGATACGAGTTCGAATGCATCCGTCAGCTGCGGCATCTTTTCGCGTAAGAACCATCTGTGCGAGGTAGCATACACCACGTGTGCGCTTTCAAACTGCACGACTGTGCGATCGGCTTCGTCGTGCATGTCACTACCGCTCAATATCTAACGACATGCGTTTGAAACCATGCTGGCATCGTCATCATCATTATTTCATACTGCGCAGCGGTCTGGGTCTTAGCATCCGGGAGATGCTACAAATGTTGTAATCATAATTGACGTCAGCACCGTCATTTTCAACGCTCCCTTCTTGGCGTCGCTGCCGCCGTCAGTTCTGGTTCGTTTTCGTCGCCGTGGCCTTCGCCACGCATGGCGTCTGGAAGCACACCCTGGCCCAAAATTGCGCGTTGGTGCTGCGATTCAGGTCTCCGTGCAAGGCCTCTGGCAGGGGAGGAGAAGGAGGATAATATAAGAGAGGAGGCCGATGGGGAAGAGGAGATTGAGAAGAGAGGAAGAGGGCTCAATCCACGCGCTCCTTGGTCCCCCTCGCGATGACGGACGACCGAATAGCCCAGAGCGACAGGCCTTTCTCCCAAAGGTCCCCATCGGGGCCACGCGGGGCTCAGTTCAACGCCTCAGGGCCCAAGGCTGAGCGCCCCCTGCGCCCTTCACCCATTGGCTTACACACTCGAGATCGTAAAGTAACCGTGTGCTACGACCGCTGAGTTTCGGGGCTCTGGCTCCCCCGCCGAGCTCTTCGAGGGCCGCCCCCCCCGGGCACACGTCGTCGCCTGCCTGCCCCGTCCTGTCCTCCACGTGTCTTGCCCTGCGCAGCTCGAGACAGCGTGGCAAACGTGCGGTCAGAGTCTCTGGCACCTGAGGAGGAGGAGGCGGAGGAGGAGGAGGAGGAGGGGGAGGAGGCGGAGGAGGAGGAGGAACAGAGGAACAGACCGAGCGCACCCAGGTGCGAAGTTCGGGCGATGCCGAACGCATCCTAGCCCTGGCTAGAAGTGGCGACTGCAGCGGCAGGCGCCGCGGCAGCTGAAATTTCTTCCACGGCTATGCCGTGGGTAGTTGTTCGCAAAAATTTGGTGAGGCCATCGCGCCCCGCGTGGGCGCGGGTAAATTCTCCCTTGTCAATCTTGGCGAGGTTCTCTCGCCCTTTCTTCGAAACAACGCCTGCGCAGGGTGCGGCGAGGTGGCGTGGGTCTTCTGTGGCCGTCTTGCCGCACCCGCGACAAAAAAATACAGGCGGTACTTCTGCATGGCATGAAGCTTATGGCTGGCGTGCAGCTCGCGGCCAGCGATGGTGATGGTGCCCTGTACTGGCACTATCTGGTCGCTGGCGGACGGAAGGTGGGTCTGGTGGGCGCACGGCGTGGCGCAGGCCTGGCGTACTTTACGCTTGTCGGTGGTGAGCCCGCACCGCGAGCAGAGATACTTGCCCGCTCTGAGCTCAAAGGCGTGCTGGCTCGATCGCATGGCTAGCTGCAGCTTGGTGAGACGCGGGCCTTTGGCCTGCGAGGGTCGCTCCGCCACCCAGGGGTCTACTGCAAGCGTGTCAGCTAGGGCTCGGCGCGCCCTCCTGCGGATGAGGGTGCACTGTGCATCGTGCAGGTCCGTGGGAGGGGCCTGTCCCACGAGCGCTGCCTCGTAGGACCTCTGGGCCGCTACCCCAGCCCATGCATCGGCCGTCGCATTACCAATGGTGTGAAAGTAGCGCACAGGGTCAGAGGCGAGGCCAGGTGACTCCTCGCTGTGTGAGGGCATCCAGATCACCGAGAGCTGCCTACTACCACGTGCGCGTATTGCTTTAGCAATACGTGCCCACAAATCTTGATTGGCGCCATCGCGGGGGCGCAAGTGTCGATTCGACCGCCATCCGTCACATAACGGGAGGTGGTCTGTGATGAAGCAGAGATCACCGTCCCAGTGCTCTAGGGCAAGCGCGAAAGCCAGCAGCTCAGCACGAGGCACAGTCTGAAAGGGGCCCTCGAGGCCCGAAATGATGCCTCCCCAGGGGACCCACTCCCCGAAGAGGCACTTCATGGCGGCACAGGCGGTCCCCACTCTTCGGCGTCGTGGGTCATCACTGTACTGACCTCACGAGCCGTCCCCGAATAGGGTGAGGGTGCCGTCGCTGCTGACGCAATCCTCCCACTCCCGCCCAACCCAGCTCCACCCGCCGTCCCCTCCCAACGATGCAGAGAGCGGGTGCGTGTCATCGCACGCAGGCAGGCCGCGGAGCCAGTATGCGGGGGCAGCTTCTGCTCCCGCCAGGGCAGAGGGCATGAGGGCGTCAGAATCCGTGTAGTCCTCGTGGTCGCGGTTGCACGGGCGCAGCCAGACCTTGTGCATGAGCGTCTCGTCTGCCCCACCGCACCTGGGACACGTTGGAGTAGCGTTGCACCCCGTCTCGATGAGTCGGCTTCTGGGCCATTGCGCCCCCGCGACCACGCACAGGTTGAGGGCCACCTGGTCGTGCTGGCCCTTCCTCGTGAACTTCCCCATCTCGTTGGCAACTATGTGGGCGTCTGGGCCCCCTCGTTGCAGTCCTTCTCCGTGTGGGTGTTTGGCAGCATCCCTCCACAGGCTCTTCTCGAGGGAGAGGCCGAACTCGTGGACGAACTCCGCGGGGTCCACGTCGTTGCGCTTGTCCTCCCAGTCGGCCTGGCCACTGTGGGGTAGCTGCCACTCCTGCGAGTAGGTCTCGCCTGCCCACGGAGGTCGCGACCGCTCCGTCGGCGTCGGGCAGGTCCATCCTGCGTCCAGGAGAATAGCCTGGATGGCGGAGATGGGCCCCTTGACCTTCCTCCACTTCTTGTTGCCGTACTTGATCGACTTGTCGTATATCCGCTTCCACGCCTGCGTGACCCGACTGTGGTGTTCTGGGTACTGCATCCAGAAGTTGAGCCACTCGGCGATTGACTGGCGCCTGAGCTCGATCGCGGGGTCCTTCTTCCCCATGGCGACGGCGAGGGCTGTGGAGAGGCAGCGGCCAGGGACCTTCCCCGCCGTGGCCTGAACGGCATGGCGCCTCTGGTCGAGGATGGCCGCCGGGGCGAGGCCCATGATCTGGTGGCCGTAGGTCCCCTGCGGCCTGGATCCCGTGTTCCACAAGCCCTTCGCGATCTTGGCTAGGGAGGCGTGCTTCCTGACCTTGGCCACGATGCGGTGAGTACGCCTCCTCGCGGTCCTGGCCCTCTTGATTGCCGTGGCGACAACCCGTCTCTTGGCGCCTCCCACGTCGATGCCAAGGTCGACCGCGCTGTTGGCCACCTTGACGTGGTAGCCCTTCTTCTTGAGACCGTCGTGCACTGCGTAGGCGATCGTCTGGCTGGAGGCGGTGGTCTTGGGGGAGACCCTGAGCCCCGCGCCCGTCATTCCTTCGAATAGGTCGGCGCCAACCCCGATGAGATCACTGATGACCTTCTTGGTTTGGCCCTCTGTCCTCGCGACCGTGTCGTCCACGAACGTCCACGGGCCAGCGTGCGTGTGGTTGGTGTGGGCCCTCTGCAGGATCGGCCCCAGGTATACCTTGGCGAGCTTGCCGCCATTGCAGCTGCCCGCGGCTATGGACCTCTCGGCGTCTATGATGTCGCTGACCCAGCCGTGCATCCGCAAGTACCTGGGCGCCAGGTAGAGCTGCACCTCCATCGCCACGACAATCGGGGGGAATTTGACCCCGATCGCGGCTTCGTAGAGGGCCTCGTAGCAGACCGAGTCGTAGAACTTCTCTACGTCCATCAGCAAGGTCGCGAAGGCCACGCCGAAGGTCGCCGCCGTCTCGTCAAGTAGCGCCCTTACTAGCGCTGCCCTTAAGGCGCTGGATCCTCTGATGGCGGTGTCCCAGAACCCCCCGGGCTCCCTGGACCACTCGTCGGTTACGCTGGAGCGGACCTTGGCCCACGTCTTGGGGATTGTGGTGAGCATGCCCAATATTCTCTCTCCACCTGCGGGCTTGGGGGCCATGGCCCCACTGGTGGCGCAAAGCTGCTGAGGCCACAGCCCGTTGGCCTCCACCTGGTTGTAGATCTCGGCGAGCTCCTGGATCCCTTTCTCGGGGGGCCTCTGGATGTCGATGGGGCCGATGTTGTCGACTCCTCTCGCCTTCTTCGGGTCGGCGGTGCGCACAGTGGCCTGCATGTGCTGCGGCTCGATTAGCGGGGGGGGGGGTCCTCCTTTGCGAGCCGCACGGCCTTCTCGCACGCGCTGATGATCTGCTTGACGTTGTAGCTGTCGGACGCCCAGATGGAGCGCCAGGTATCGGCAGAGTGGTTCATGAGCGTGGACGGGTCGCCCACCGTTCTCTGAGGCTGCTTGTCCTCCAGGCGCGGCGCCTTGGGGTCGGCGACGATGCGGTGCAGCTTTCCTGGTGAGTCCTTCCACGCCTGTTTCGCCCAGTCGAGATACCGTTTCCGCGCTCTGCCTGCCGCTCTCGCCATGGCTTTGTGGGTCCACTAGATGGTGGTGGCGCTGACGCGGTGCAGGTCCGCCGCGTCGCAGTACTCGAGGTTTACCAGCTGGGTCTTCCACTCTTCGATCTCCTGCGGGTCGGTCTTGCTGCCGAAGAGCTCCTTGGAGAACTCAGGGTTCTCCAGGTCGTCCAGCTTCTTCATGACTGTATTGTGGATGTGCTGGCGGGCAATGGGGTGCTTGCCGTTGGTGACCAGCGCAGAGTACGTCACCACGAGGGTACTGAGGTGCTGCCACCATGTAGCCTCAAGGTCCTTGAGGTACGCTCTGCCAGGCGACGCCTTCATCGTCTGCTTGGTGGCCCTGTACCCCTCCGCCCTGCCCTGGTACTTGGCCCTGTCCTCGACGGGGGCCGCGTGCGTCTCCAGGAAGGCGAGCTCCAGGGTCGCGACCCACTGCGCGTACTTCGAGTTGATGTTCTCCGCGAGGTTCGGCGCATGGTTGTGGAAGATGTGCCCCCTGCCCTCCTTGGTGCCGACCTTAGCGCCATCGAACTTCGGGAAGTTGCTGACCTCGTCGGCAGCGGCGTCCCAACAGTGCTGTGGGATCACGAAGGGGCGGGGTCTTCCTTGGCCGTCTCGCGGTCGAAGTAGAGGGCGTCGAACTCGTCGCGCAGGTGCTCTGGTAGCCTGTCCCTCCTGGTTCGCAACGCCTCCGCACGAGCCTTGGACCTTTTGCTGCTCGGGCCCGCGACCTTCCTAGGTCTGGCTCGTGCGGGGAGGGCTTTGGGAACCTTTATAGCTTTGTACTGCCACGGCTCGGCGGTGCCCACCGTGATCTGGATGCCGCAGTGGGTCTTCCAGGGGACGTCGTGGATGGCCTCGATCCCGACGTGCGTGGCGATGCCCGCTCGTGCAATCGCGTAGTCGTACACGGCGCCCGAGCCCTTGTCGCACGTCGCCTCGCAGCTTGGGTCGGTGAGGATAGTGCCGTTCCATCGCGTGAGCCACGGTTTGTTGTCCCACCAGCGCGGCTCGTAGTTCCAGTCGGCCAGGATGATCCACGGGTCCATGAGCATGTCCACAAACGTGGAGATGGAGACCAGGATGTCCCTTTTCGCGCCTTGGCCCCGTAGGCCAGGGCGCAGGTACGCCGCTATAATGACTATGTTGCCGCTCTTGGAGTGGGGGACTGTCGGCGTGAAGCCCACGAACGGCTGCCTCTTGTAGCGCTCGACGTAGTACTCCCTGTAGCCCTCGAACGTGGTCGCCGCCGCGTCCCTGCGCGTGAGGATCCACTCGCCGCCATGGGTCCCCTTGTCCGATTTGTTGGTGGCCACCGCGGGCGTGGCCGACAGCTTCCAGCCGTCCATGGCGAGCTTTCCATTCTGCTCGGTGATGCCGCACGCGTCGACGTGGGTCCCCGCCAGCGCTATGAGGTGGTACTTGCGGCCTGCGTTGCGACAGAAGTTGGCGGCCTGTGGCCCCCAAACCGTTACGCTGCCGAACAGGATCTGGGCCGCACGCTCGGCCTCTGGGGCGGGTGCACCTGCCGTGGGGAGCCCCCTGGCGCGGTTCCCCTGCCCCCTCAGCCGCTGCGGCCGCTTGTGGCTACCCCAGCGACGGTGGGGCTCCTGCCGCTGCCGCTGGCGCCATGGTGGCGCCCTTGCCCACGCCCTTAGCTGCGTGGGCCAGCTCCCTGGCCCTCGTGGCGGTGGCGATGAGCTCGGCGGCGGCCTTGCGGTCCTCCTCGGAGGGCTCGTCGGTAGCAGGGGCGGCCCCTCCAGGCTGGCGTGGCTCGGCAGGTGGGGCGGCAGAGCCTCCTGGCGCGCCAGGTTGTGCCTGTCCTCCAGGTGCGGCCGCTGGCTGGTGCTCGTCTGGTGGAGCGGGAGCGGGTTCAGGATGAGGTTGCTGAGCAGCTGATTCCTCCCCGCTCGGCTTCTTCCGCTTCGCTGGGTTGGTAGTGGACTCCTTGGCTTGGCGTAGGAGTTCCCGTACTTTCTCTTGACCATTGTTGAGCTCGGCCAGGCGCTCCATCTGGGCTCGGGTGCCCTCGTCGTAGATGGAGAGGTCGTCCCAAGGCTTCCTGGGATCCCGCTTGTGGTGCTCCGCGTGCAGCTCCAGCAAGCTTGGCGCTGTGGTCCGCTTGCGCCTTGGCGCATGCGTTCTGTGCCTGGACGAGGTCCAGGGCGGCTTGCTCCTGTTTGGCCACGGCGTCATCGTACCACTGCTTGGCGGCCTCGACGTCGTCGACCGACTGCTTGAACTTCTTCTCCCTGTCTGTGAGGACTGACAGCGCCGACTGGAGCACCTGCTCTGCCGTGCGGGCAGGCTGCGGCTTGTCGGGCTGCTGGAGGGCGTCCTTGAGGTTGCCGACGAGTTCGGCGTGCTTGGTGTCGCTGAGGAGCGTGCTGAGCGTGGCGATGATGGCGTCCCTGGTCGGGGCGACGGCCACTGGCTGCTCCTTCCACGGCGGTGGTTTGCTGACTCCTGCCCACGCCCCAGCAGGCTGGCGGTGCTCAGCGGGTGATGGGGCCAGCAGCTTGCCACAGTAGAAGCACTCGGACTTGCCCTTCCACGTCCATCGGTATCGACACTGCTTGCAGACCGTGTACTGGCCAGCGAACCTCGCTGGCGATCCTCGTCCACCTTCAGGGCGTGCACGTCGCGGCCTGGTGCCGCCGTTGGCGGCAGCTCCTCCGTCAGCAGGGGCGGTTCCTCCACCGCGGTCCGCGGCGGCCATCGTCCCACTGCTTCCCAAGGAGCTCTCGCGAGCCACGCGAGGGAGAGATATGGAATGGGCGGCAGCTCGCCCCTGGGTGTAGCTGCAATGGGCGGCAGCTCGCCCCTGAGTGTAGCTGCAGTGGGCGGCAGCTCGCCCGTGGGTGTGGCTGCAAATATGAAGAGCACTGAAAGCTTTGGGAGCCTACCCCAGATCGGCAGTGGAATGGTCACCATTTTGGCCTTGAGCCAAAATGGCTTGAGCCAAAATGGCTACGGAGCGGAGGAGGAGGAGGGGGAGGAGGAGGAGAGGAGGAGGAGGAGGAGGAGGGGAGGAGGAGGAGGAGGAGGAGGAGGAGGAGGAGGAGGAGGAGGAGGAGGAGGAGGGGAGGAGGGAGGAGGAGGAGGGAGGAGAGGAGGAGGAGGAGGAGGAGGAGGAGGAGGAGGAGGAGGAGGAGGAGGGGGCAGTCCTCTCGGCACGTGCGCCGCGGCTCCCATGAGCCTCCCCAGTTGCACTGCCGAGGCGGGCGCGCTCGGCTCGCCCCGGCGAGGCCGTGAGCGGGCCGCCACGGAGCCTGTGCGCGCCGGAGCTCGGTGGCGGCGGTTGCCATTCTGCGGGTCGTCGGCCGCCGCCACCCCCGAATGTAGAGGCCGCGAGTAGTGGGCTGTCCAGGTTTTACTTGGTTGGCTTCGACTGGGAAGCGATTTTGGCGCCGCTCCGTCAGCTCAGTTTTGCTGCTGTTGGTTTGGGCGGATCGCGTGGTTTGGTGGTTTGGTCTTGCGTGGCGGGGCCGTGCAGTGGGCTCTCTCTGTGTTGTTGTCATAGGGGAACAAAAGCGGCACAAACATGAAAGCTCAGAGGTACGCGCGGATTTGTCGGGTCGGCGTTGGGGCCCCCCGGCGGCGCCTCCGGCACCGCCCCTGGCGCGCTCCGCGCGCCAGGGAGGGGGGTCCAGCGCCGATCCGAGATATCCGCGCGGACCGCCGAATTTTTATGCTTATGCCACTTTTGGTCCCCCTGACATCGGCATGTCCCATGACCGAAAGCTGAAGCTAAGTGCCCCCCTGCCGGAAGCCCCTCCCCCCGCCCCCTCTCCCACGTTTTGGCTGGAATGGGGGCGGGGCCGGCCCCCCACCTCCCCTAAAAGAGGGGCGTGGGGGGGGGGGTTTGCAAGCCCCCCCCCCTCTTGGGTTAAAGGAAGGGGCGCCGAAGGCCAAAAGGGCACCGAAAACCAACGGAGCGCCGAAAACCAAGGGGCCAAAGGGCCACAGAAAACCCAGAGGGTGCGAAAACCAGAGGCGCGCCGAAAACAGAAGGAGCGCCACAAAACCAAAGGAGCGCCGAAAACCAAAGGGGCGCCGAAAACCAACGATGCGCCGAAAACCAAAGGAGCGCCGAAAACCAAAGGAGCGCCGAAAACCAAAGTGGTGCCGAAAACTGAAAGGGCGCCGACAACCAGAAAAGGAACCGAACACCAACGAAGCGCCGAAAACAAAAAAAACGCCGAAAAGCAAAGGGACGCCGAAAACCAAAAGAGCGCCGAAAAGCAAAGGGGCGCCGAAAACCAAAAGGTGCCAAAAACCAGAAGAACGCCGAAAACCCAAGAGGCGCCGAACACCAAAAGGGCGCCGAAAACTAAAGATGCGCCGAAAACCATTGAGCGCCGAAAACCAGAGCAGCGCCGAAAACCAAAAGGAGCGGAGCGCCGAAAATCAGAGAGCGCCGAACACCCAAAGCCGAAAACCAAAGGTACGCCGAAAACCAACGATGCGACGAAGACCAAAATAGCGCCGAAACACCAAAGGGGCGCCGATAACCAAAAGGGCGTCGAGAACCAAAGGGCGTCAAAAACCAAAGGCGGCGCTGAACATCGACAACAGGCGCCGAAAACCAAAAGGGTGCGCAGAAAACCAAAAGGGACGCCAAAAACCAAAGGAGCGCCGAAAACCACAGGATCGCCGAAAACAAAAGGACCGCCGAAAACCAAAGGGGCGCCGAAAACTATTGGGGCGCCAAAGGCCAAATGGGGTGCCGAAGACCAACGAATCGCCGAACAATAAAGAGACCAGAAACCACAAGCACGCCGAACTCCAACGGGGCGCCGAAAACCAAAGGAGAAAAGTAGCTTCGAAGCCCCCTCTTCAGCCAGGGCCCTCAGCTGAAAAAGCAAACAGAAGGAGGGGAGGGGGGGCAGCTTCGGAAGCCCACCCCCTTTTGGAAAGGGGAGCCCGGGCTCACCCCGGGCCCCGAAAAGAAGGGGGGGGTAGCTTCCGAGCCCGGCCCCCTTTAGCCTGGGACCCCCCAGCTACAATCTCCAAACAAAGGGCAGCTTGAAGCTGGGGGCCCCCTTTTTGTAAGGAGTGCGACGGGCGCGCTCTTTCGTACAAACACACCCTATGGTTCGGCTGCCCACCATCATGGTGTATGAGTCGCGCGCAAGCAAGCAGGCAAGTTCGCGTTGTGCATGTTGGGGGGCGGGGCAAGGCTCGCCAGTGGTTCGTGGTTCGAGTCGCGATCGGGTGCTCTTACTCGCGATTGGTGCCGTCGGACGCTGTCGTGGTCGTATGATACCAGTGCGCAGTTCCTGTTGCCCACGTCGAGCTTGCCATGTTAGGGGCTTCCTCATGTTAGGGGCCTTGCTCATGTTAGGGGCCTTGTTTCGGTGCAGGCAAGCTTGCCAATTTATTGTGCTCTTCGTTCAGTTCATCTCAGCGCCAGGTGATTCGCAACCCATTTAATCCGCGGGCGCCTCAGTTGACCAAGCGAGATACTTGATCAGGGTGCTTCAGCAGACCCTCACGTGCTGGGCGAGACGTGCTACATCGCACAGAGAGTTGACGGGCTGTCTTGAGACTTGGAGCGCTGCCATTGCATCGAAAGCAGCGCCCCTTGCCATACTCAACCCGTGTTCGTGTAGTCGCTGCCCGGTGACGCTCGCAACGGTGAGATAGGAGCACGACGACCTCTCGTCGAGGACTGTGCCGCCCAGCACCACCCGGCAGGACTCCGACGGGCCGCCGGGGCACCACCGGCGCGTCCGCGCCAGTTCCATGCCAATACAGGGGCGCGACGGCTCCGTGAGCGAGCTTCGTGCACGTCGCGACCCCGCCGCAGCAAGGCTCGTGAAGGAGGGATCCGCCGCTCGCTCCGATCTGCACCGCTCTTCGTGCCATCGCGCCGCTCCCCCTTGCGCGCGAGCCCGAGGCATCTCGCGCTCGTGTGCTCGCCCGGCCGCCGATCGGAGGGCGGTCGCTCGGCTCTGTACCTGCCTCAAAGATCGGGGGCGGAAAAGAGGGGGCTGATGACTGGGGGGGTGGATATCACGGCGTGGGCCATGATATTTCCCCAGATTTCATGGCCCCTCTTCTTGTTTCATTCCGTCCCTGGCCCCCCCGCTGGGCCGCGCACATGCCGACGGTCCTGATTTGCACCCCCCCCTCTTGGGCACCCCCCTCTTGGCCGCTCCCGAAAATACTTGAGCGCCCACAGTCTGTGGAGGGCCGCTGCTGATCTGCGGCCCCGAGAGTCTAGGCACAGATTGTTGCCGTGGGCCCTGCGGACGAAGCACTGCACAGGATCCCGCGGATGCAGCTCCTGGGAGGCCAGATTCAGCCTCGGCGCTGGCACACCCGTGGTCGAAATCCACCCAGGTCTCGCACAGTGCCCGGCGGAATTCCGCTGACTCCGGTTTCATTCAGGAGGGAAAAAACACACAGACACAACGAATCGTCGATTTCCCAGAAAATATGGGAAAATATGGGAAGTGGGGGGGAAGACAGAAACACAGAAAATATAGAAAAAAGGGGGATTCTGTTTATTTGTGTGTATTTATTTGTGTGTCCTGGGGCCCCTTCATTAATGCAGGTGAATCCTGGGCTCATTTTGGCCGGATCTGGCTCGATGGCCGCGCAATCAGGTTCAGTAGCTTGCGATCGTTCTTGCGAAGACCGCCAGACGTTGCCTCCCAGGGATCCCAGAATCGCCCCCCCGCTGCAAGTCGGCGGCGAGCGAGGGGGGGAAGTGAGAAGGAGAAGGCCTTCTCAGAATTAGGCGGCGGGACTTCTCAGAAGCCCTCTCGCCTTCTGAGCAGGTTTTCCCTACCTAGGCTCTGCCTAGAAGGGTTCTTACTCTTTTTGCTTAAAAGGGCCGGGCAGTGGAACCCGCCCCGGGCGGTTCCCCCGGTCCCCTGGGAGCGGTACCCCCAGTCCCCTGGGAGCTTTAGCTTTAGCTTAGCTTTAGCTTAGCTTTAGCTTAGCTTTAGCTTAGCTTTAGCTTAGCTTTAGCTTAGCTTTAGCTTAGCTTTAGCTTAGCTTTAGCTTATCTTTAGTTTACCTTTGGCTTAGCTGTAGCTTAGCTTTAGCTTAGCTTTAGCTTAGCTTTAGCTTAGCGTTAGTTTAGCTTTAGCTTAGCTTCAACTTAGCTTTAGTTTAGCTTTAGCTTAGCTTTAACCTAGCTTTAGCTTAGCCTTACTGTCACTACTAATGCTGCTTTCCTAGGGGCTCCAACTCCTAGGTAGGGTCGCACTGGGATAACTTGTATCTTCGGGGAAGGTTTAGAAAACTTCTCAGGAGGCCCGGGGACTTCCGAGCCTTCTGAGAAGGCCCGCTCCTTCTCACTTCCCCTCCTCGCTCGTCGCCGAGCAAAGCGCACGCCCCAGTGCCGCGCCCGAGGCCAGTGCGTGGCATCCCGGGGTCCAAGGGCAGCCGCTGCTCGCGCATGTCTGGCCGCCCGGGCGGCATGGGCCTCATCCGCAAGTACGGCATCATGATGAAGCGCCAGGCAGCCCGCAGAGATCGGAGGCAACGTTATGGGGATATACATATCTGTATATATATATATATACACGCGCATATAGGTGAATCTATACATGGGGCGTTCCAACAAAAAGGCTTTGCCTTCGAGGATCGAAGGAGTTGCCATCTCTGCCGCGGCGGAAGGGCGGAAAGCTGGCGGAAGTGAAACGAGGCCGCCTCCGCCGGCGGAAGCCGGCGGAAGGGCGGCGGAAGGTGGCGGAAGTGAAAGATGTACCCCCAAGAGATGGAAACAGTTTTGGGGTCAGGGTTTCCGACATCGCCCATATATACACACATATGTGCGTGTACGCATAATAGATGTATGTAAGAATATATGGTAGCACCCCACATGATCATGTATGTTTTTTCGTCTATACATCCCATCTCGCCGAGCCTTCCTCGTCCTCATCCTCCGCTTTCTCTTCTTCCTCGTTCCTTTCCATATTTAAGTTCATGGGGACGTGTACTGTCACCACACCATGCTATACACAGCTGTTTGGATTGTTCCTTGGTCGAGGATATCACCAAACCCTTTTTATACACGTGCTTTTAGTTACAGTCGGTCCGCACATGTTGGCCAGGCCTCCGTCTCTTCCCATATTCATCTTCATGAGGAGGTTGAACGCCACCACATTATGATGTACACATGTTTGTTTGGTTGCTTTGGTCGGGGATATCACCAAACCCCACTTTAAACATGCTTGTTTGGTTTGTGTGGTTTTCAGGATGTCCGCGCATGTTGGCTTGGTGCTATCCCCGATCAACAAATATTTCAGTGGCCTCCAGCCAGTGCCGCCGATCCAGGGCGCTCCTGATGAGTGTGGGAATGGACGATGACGACGACAACGGACGACCAACCGTCGACGAGCGGGATAATTACTACGATTGACGAACGTGTTAACGACGACGATTGACGACGACGACGATTATGACGACGACGCCCTCTGACCGACGATGATGATGATGATGATGATGATGATGATGATGATGATGATGATGATGATGATGATGATGATGATAAGACGATGTTTAATGATGATGACGATGCTGATGGTGATGCTGATGATGCTAATGATGATGATGACGATGATACTGATGATTTTGATGCTGACGATGCTGATGACAATGATGATGATGATGATGATGATGATGATGATGATGATGATGATGATGATGATGATGATGATGATGATGATGATGATGATGGTGATGGTGATGGTGATGGTGATGGTGATGGTGATGGTGATGGTGATGGTGATGATGATGGTGGTGATGGTGATTGTGCGGGTGATGGTGACGGTGGTGGTGATGGTGATGTGAGCTTGGAAAGAGGAGGAGGAGGAGGAGGAGGAGGAGGAGGAGGAGGAGGAGGAGGAGGAGGAGAGTAGGAGGGGGAGGAGAGGAGAGGAGGAGGAAAGAGGAGGGAGAGGAGGAGGAGGAGAGGGAGGAGGAGGGAGGAGGGGAGGACGAGGACGAGGACGAGGAGGTAGAGGAGAGGATGAGAGGAGGAGGAAGGAGGGGAGGGGAGGCGGAGGAGGAGGAAGAGGAAAAGGAAGAGGAGGAGGGGAGGAGGGAGGAGGACGGAGGAGGAGGAGGGGGAGGTGGAACGGGGAGGGGGACAGCACCCGGGAGTGAGCGCCGGCACAGGGGGTGGGCGTCCCCGTCCTCGTGGTGTCCGGCCCACCCCCCCCTCTCCCAGGTGCCGGCACCCGCTCCCCCAGTGCCTGCCCCCCCCCCAGTGACGGTCACCCCCCCCTCCCCGGGTGCCGCCCTCCCCCCCCCCGCGCCGACGTCCGGCATCGGGGGGGGGTGCCGAGCACAGGTGCGTGCATCGAAGAGGGGTGGCCTGGAGGGGGGGGGGTGCGGGGTGCAGCAGGCACCGGGGGGGAGGGCGGCACCGGGGGGGGTGCCAGCACCGGGGGCAAGGGGGGATGCCGGCATCGGGGTGGGGGGCATCGGGGAGGGGGTGCCGAGCACAGGTACGGGCACGGGGGGGGAGCCTGCGGGGGGGCAGGGGGTGCCAGCCCCGGGGGGGGGACCGGCGTCGAGGGGGAGGGTGCCGAGCACTGAATGCGTCGGATGAGGTCGGATGAGGTCCCCCCCCCGGCACAGCGAAGCTTGAGCGAGCTCAAGCCCACGCTCTCAGAAACTCACATGCCAGATCGGCGGATATGTGTGTAGTACGGTTTGGTGGCAGTCAACATCTGCACGATGAGGAATATGGGAAGAGGGAGTATAATGAGGAGTCCTCTTCATCCTCCTTCTGTCAGTCTTTCTCATCATCATGCTCTCCCGTTGGAGGCAGCGGAGGAGGAGGAGGAGGAGGAGGAGGAGGAGGAGGTGGGAGAGCAGGAGGAGGAGGAGGAAGAGTGGTAGGACGACGGGAAAGTGGAAAGCGATGTGATGAGGAGGAGGAGAAGCAGGAGGTGGAAGCAGGAGATGGATGAGGTGTCACGCCTCCTCCTGCTCCTCCTCCTCCTCACGCCCCGTGCATTCCTCCTCCTCCTCCTTCTCCGCCTTCCCCTCCTATCACACCTCGTGCTGTTCCTACACTGAGAGGAAGAGGGAGAGCGACATGAGAAGGAGGGGGAGGCGGAAAACCAGGAGGCGGAGTTAGAAGAGTCATTATTCCCCTTGCACTTGTCACTCCTCTTCTTCCTTCTCCTCCTCCTCCTCCTCCTCCTTCTCCTCCTCTTCGTCATTCTCCCTACATCACTCCACCTTCTCCTCTTCACCATCTTGCTACAAGAGGGAGGCTGATGATGATGTAATACTGATATGATGAGCAGGATGAAGAGCGATGCGGCAGGAGGAGGATAAGTCGAATGTGCGAGATGAGGTCGAGGAGCCACTCATTCTCATCCTTCCCCTCCTGCTCGCATCACCTCTCCTCCTGCTCACCATAGAGGGAGGAAGTTGATGAGCCAGGCCTCATCATCATCCTGTTCCGGCTCCCCATCCTCCTGCTCCTATCGCCGCTCCCCCTTATCCCTCTCCCCGTCCTCGTGTCACACCTCCTTCTCCTGTGTTGAAAGGAAGATGGCTCGTCCGCGAAGGAAGATGAGGAGGAGGGTGACGACCACGAGGAGGACATTGAGGAAGTACCCCTCCTCCTTCTTCTTCTGATCATATCGCTTTCCCTTCTCATCTTCCTCACCCTCCTTCTATCACCTTCACCTCCTCGAGGTTGAGTGGGAGGTGAGTGGAGGAGGAGAACTGATGCGATGAGAAGAGGAGGAGCAGTATGAGGACGTAGAGACGCCGTTCCATTCCTTTTCCTTATGAACAGCTCCTCCCTGTCGCACCCCGACGCCAGTCGGAAGGGGGCGTTTCGCCTGAGAGGTGTTCACCAAACATAACTCCGAATCTCAAGTTTTGCGACAACTTCACGGATGGAGGGCGGGTCGCTTTCAAAATGTGGTTGTCGCCTAAGCGCCGCGCACATCCGTTGTAGACATTCGCAAGAGCGTCACGGATTGAGGACAGGTCGTTCCCAAAATGTGGTTCTCGCCGAAGCGCCGCGCGCATCCGTTTA